ATATTCAGATGTCTGAGTTGGTGAATCAGCACCTTTACTCTATTTTATCTGTGGACAGTTTTAAGTCACACTAAGAATAACTGTATACGGGGCTTTATAATATGATGGATCTGATGTGTTTGTATCTGCCTGTGTTTATCAAATTTCGCTGTATTTTTTTTAAGTTCTATGCGCTTTATCATTTAAATTATACCTACTTACTGTGATATTTATTTATATTAATTTATATCACTTTTAAATTATTATTTTACTAAAACGTGTGTTGTATTTGATTTACAAAATTTATTTGTGCTTCAGAAATTCTTTAATAAATTTATATTTATTTATTAAATATATTATTTTTTCCTTTCTGAACTGAATTACTTACATTTTATTTTACTTACAGAGAGATGTCATTAATTTGGAACCCACACGTGACGATGTTGTCAGCTGCGTTTCTAAAGGAAAGAGCCAAGTAAGTAAATCAAATTCAAATTAATTTCACTCTCTTAACATATGTTTCTAGTCTAGTAATTTATATGAATTTATTTATTCAATATTTTACATTTATATAAATCTGAATCGGCATATGTATTCGTAGTGCGATATGTACGTGCATTTATAAAACTTCAAGCAAATTGCAAACGAGTAGTGTGTGTCTATTTTATATAAGAACCCTTACAACAAGTGTAAATGGTATTTAATCTGCCTTCTTTTTTAACATCAAAGTCAGTTACATCAAGTATTGACTTCTCCGTAGCTGCAAAACCTCAAAATCCATCGAACGTGCGCAATTCTTCAAATTCAATTTAACGTTACTTTGGTGTATCTGCCGCGCACTCGACTGTGCATACTTAAAGTTAATTTAACTCATATATCCTTTCAGATATCTATGCTCTATATGTGCTTTATACTTCTATAAACCAAAATCCTAAGAAAAATTGCATATGTACTTGAAAACATTGATTGATTTTTGTATCTAGCTTCGTACTCTTTATACGTATCTACAGGATGACTTTGGCTTTAGTCTGCATTTACGAGTACATCAGTTTGTTGTCCTTAAATGCGCACACAGCTTATATACATATATATGTGTATATACAATATACTTTTAAACACGCATAAAAATACATGTCAGTGATTTTGTTTCCTTTTATGTTTTATTTTATTTCAAAATAAATATATGTGTATATCAATTTATGTATATGTTGTTATTGTTGTAATTCGTTTACAATATGACAGCATATCCTTTCATTTTAAATCTCGTCAATTTATTCGTGGCTTACAATTTATTGTCATATACGATAAAGTAACTGCTGCATCTATGCAACTGCAGCTGTTGCTGCTATTATTGTTGAAGCTGTTGTTGTTGACTGCATTTTTCTTGTTGTTGTTGTTGTTATTGCTATTGAGGTTGGCGTTGGTGTTGGTATTGTTGCAATTGCAATCATTCTTCTAAATATATAAAAATTGCACGCTTTTGGTCCTGGCGTTATTTTGCAATTTGTTCAATACATAAACGTATTGCCAAAGTCATCATCTTCCAACATTGCAATATTAGTGCTGCCATTGTGGCATACCGTTGGTAAATCTGCAACTAAAATCTGCTGCTGTATGGATTGCAGTTTTATCTCAATACATTTTCGCTCTGCTCCCAGTTAAGTGGGTGGTTGCATTTGTATGTACGTTGCCGCACGAATCAACTTCCGTTATAAATATAAATATTTATTCATTTTTTTTTTTTTTTTGTATTTTATTTTCTATTCTAAAAATTCGGTGTGCTTCATTGTTGCAATTGATTTTGTATAGAATTTTTATTCATTGCACTGGCTTAAATGCAATTTTTCAATTTGTCAAAGAAATTTATTGAATTTATGTGTAGAACTCATTGGGGTTAAATATGTTTGAATCGAAATATGGGAAAATACAATTTATTAACAAAAATTTGGTTTAAATTTTTATATGCTTTTAAAAAAATAATTAAAACTATTAAAAATAAATTGTAAGCGTAAGAAAAGGGTGTATGTCCTTTTTGACATACTATTAAGAAGACATGTCAGATTCTAATACAAGATGCTTTACACACTCCCTCTTATCCTTATCTCCCTGTGCAGCATAGGGCCTCCACCATCCTTATTAACCTCAATTGCAATAAAAAAATATTTAAATTTTACAATTTAACAAGAAGCGACCTTCAGCCAGAACAAAAAAATAATATATTAAAAAAAATCAATAATATTTATATAAAATAAAATGCAATGAAATAATTATATAGATTAATAAAAAATAATAATAATATATATTAAAAAAATCAATAATATTTATATAAAATAAAATGCAATGAAATAATAATATAGATTAATATAAAATAATAATACATATATATTAATATAAAATTAGTAGAGAAAATTTAATAAAAAAAATTAATATAAATTAAAAAATAAGATAAAATAACATTAAATTCAAATAATTGAAAATTTAATAAAATTTATAAAAAATTTGATTATTTATTTTAAAACTAATTTTAATTGAATTTTAAATTAAAATAAAAATATATAGAGAAGAGAATAAAAAATCGACTAAAAAAATTATAAATAAAGCTAAGATAAAGTTTAGAAATTAGAAAATATATTAAGAAGAGAAAAAATGATCAAAATAAAAAAAAATCATAAGTAATAATGAAAATTAATACAACATAAAATAAAATAAAACAAGGTAGAGTACATAAAATTACAAGTAAATAATAAAGAAAAAATTTATTAAAATGAAGAAGAGAAAAAAAGTCAGAAAATGTATTACTAAAAATAATACAAATTATGATAGAATAAAATAATATAAACAAAATAAATTTCATTACAGAAATCATAAATAACATTAAAAAAAATTATTTTTTTAAATAAAATTTTAATGATTTTAATATTAAATTAAAATAAAGCAAAACTAGTAATAATAAAAATATCATAAATAACAAAAAAAAATATATAAAATAAAGAAAAACGTAAATAATAAAAATAAACATAAATAAATAAATAAAATTTTAATGCAATAAATATTAAATAAAATAAAATAAAGCAAAAATATATAAAATAAAGAAAAACGTAAATAATAAAAATAAACATAAATAAATAAAAAACATATTCATAAATAATAAAAAAATCATAAATACAATTTTTATATAATTAATAATAAATAAAATACAATAAAGCAATAGAAAAAATAGAATAATAAAAAAATCATAAATAATAAAAAAAAGGTATAAAATAAAAAAAAAACGTAAATAATAAAAATAAACATAAATAAATAGAATAAAATAATCTAAATAAAATAAAATTGATTACAGAATCCCTAAAAAATAATAAATTAAATAAAATTTTAATTTATTTAATACTAGATAAAATACAATGAAGCAAAAAATTTAGAAAAAAAAACATACATATTGGAATATAATCAAAAATAACAAAAAAATGTTCATAAATAATAAAAAAATTATAAATAAAATTAAAATAAAATGAATACAAAATGGAATATAATAAAATAATGCACTAACAATAAAATCAGTTAGAAAAGAGAAATAAAATTAAACAACCATAAAATAAAAATATGCAAGAATAAAATTAATTTATTTAACAAAATATAAACTAATTAAAAAATATTAAAGTTGGTTTTCAGTAATTTTGAAATATTAAAAATCTATTGACGTGTTTTCCTTGTAATTAGTATTCAAAGCTATTCTGGAAACTACAAGTCTCAGCTGCGATTGCATTCTTCATTCCAACTTTATTTTTGATTAAGCCAAAAAATTTTATGTTCATACCGAAACGTCACTTAACGTTTTGTCTATGACACATTTTTAAAGTGAAGTGTTCACATATTATTATTATGTGAATTACTATTACATTTCTTCTGTTTTTGTGTGCTCACATGCAATTTCAATCTGTGCATTGCTATGTGCTATGTGCCATGTGCAATGCACAGACTTTTCCGACAAAATAATCGCACTACACAACGTTTTTATTATTCTTATGTTATATACATTATGTTATTATTTTAATGCCACATAACACTTAAAAAAATGTTAACTAAACGACAACTTAACAGTATTTTTCTTCTCTTTTTGTGTTTTTATAGGTTTTCGATTGCAAAAATCACATTCGTGTCATACAATCAATGCAGCAAGGCAACAGGCTTTATATCTGTGGCACAAATGCTCACAATCCCAAGGATTATGTCATCTACGTAAGTATCAATTGAAACATAATAGACACAACAAAAGCAAGGGAAGCACATAAAAAATCTGTGTTGGGGGACACAAACTAACGAATAAATGGTTGCTTAGTTGTATTTTTCCCCCGGTTTCTTCGGTCGACAGACATACATTATGTCTCTTTTATATTTACAAGTGATTTTTCTTATATTTGTTCTTTTGCATTTTTTTTTTTATTTTTATTTTTGCTTTTATATTTTTTTTATTTTTTTATTTTTTTATCCTATATTCATATTGTAAGACATATTGAAGTTATCGTTAAGAATTTTCCTTTATGCTCTGTGCAAAGTAAATCCTTTTTATTTTGCTTGCTTTGTATTTGTAGCATGCAGCAAGGACATTTCTTGAGCTCTTCATATATTTCGATTGTGTCAATAAGTGAGCGCTTTTGTGCTTTTGCGTTTCTGTGCATATGTGAGTTGAGTTTTGTGTAATTCCAGATAGCAATCAGTGAAAAATGGTAACACTGACAACGCATTTTCACATTCAATTGACACATTTCGTGTGAAAACGTTTGCTGCCACTTTAATGTTGTGCGAAAATAATATTTATTTTGATTGCACAGTGGATGTCAATGCGGGGAAAACGATTGAAAATATGTATATTTTGAAAAATATGTCTTTTATTTTAAAAAAAATTTTAAAAAACATATTTAAATATTTTCTTTTATATGCTACATAGTATTTATTAAATATTTAGTCATTGTCTGATATTGGTCACGCGCACTATTGATTACTTATAATTATTATTTTCCACAGAATCCCGCAGAAGAAGAGGGGATGTTTTAGTTTGTATACTACACAGTACGATTCGGACACTCGGTTTGACGGTGCATAAAGCATTCAACCTCCCTCCTCCCCATCATAAATTAATTTAAAAAAACAAAAATAGGAAAATAAAAAAGAAAATTTTGTTGATCTATATATATTCTATTTTCAGCCTGCAGAAACCTAAATGAAATAAATAGTTCGTATTACCATTTAATTTTAAAATACAGGATATATCCTTACTTTCATACTAACTTACTTAAATGGTCATTACAATCCGTTATCGAGTTTCAGCCTGATATAGCATATCTCTCTATGCGCATCTGCTTTACATACACGCCTTCTTTAGTCTCGTACATAAAATCCGGTTAGTGCTCCTTCAGCTTGATCACAGGGTCTATCTCTATAACTTCCTCCAACTACAGCTTCAAATATCTTTTTCACTGGAACGTCTTTATCCATTCTCAGGTCATGACCAAGTTGTATAAACTTTATCATAAAAGTGATAAAACAGAATCTGTACAAACTGTATCATGAAGTAGATCAATTTCAGGAATTACAATTTTTGACAACGTGTCGGTTTTAAAATATTTTCACTGTACAACTCTAACACTTATTTTGGCAACATGCCTCAAATATTTAAAAACATAAACAAAAACATAAGACTATAACATATATTATCTGTATCAAAGAATTACCATTGGCAATTGGTGCGGCTATGGCCTCAGTAGTCAATTAGGATGTAGAGCTCTCTCTCTGAACAAACAAAACGCTCTATAGGTCGTTCATCATGCCTGTGATTCTATAAAGCGCAGAAACATAAACATTAGACAATATCACAGAATAATGAAGCAGTGTTTTCGAGAGACTTGTTTTTTTGTAAGTTGTTTGGTTTTTGTAAGATCTCGTTGTCAAAAATTATCATTATTATTATATATTTATCAAATTATGTTTATTTATATTGTATTAAATTTGTAGTGTAATATTTACACATTTTCCTAAATGATATAACAGTTAATACTATAAATGTCTAATACAGACAATATTTATATGCCTAGGGTTGAGTTAGATTGGAGTGGCGGCCTTGTGACAAAGCGCACTTGAGTTGAAATAATGGCCGATTATAACATCACGAATAAACATTGTTTCTCAACTAAACTGTAAAACCTCCAAAAAAAGTAGAACACAGAAATATGGTATTAAATGCATGGATATAGAAGTAAAAGAGAATCAATCTATTAAGTCTACAGACGTCACATAGATTTTTTAAATTCTATTTACACTGTCATGTTCGCTGAAGCAATTTTCCATTTCCTGTGGGTCATGTCATTCGCCAGAGAGAATTGCAGTAAATCTTACGGTACCTCTTCAGACGGTACCTTTTAATGAGCTCCCCCATCATAAAGTCAGTTTAACCGACAAAGTGTCATCCATTCTATATTGGCAAGCTGAAGAAAGAGGAAGTAAGTACTTCTCTCCAGGAAACCATAAGACTTAAGCAGGTTCTGCTTTATTTGGTGTGACTGACTGCTTTGTTACCTAATTTGGCCCAATAAGGTTTTGTAATCTAAAACGTATGTGAATTACTCAGGATTCTGATGGTCACATAACAAATAACAATATGTTATTTGTAATAATGTAAAAATAACTGTGTTGTTAAATATATATTTTCTTGTTCTAGTTGTCAAGTGAGTGCTCTGCTAATTATCATCAGGATCTAAATAAAATAAGCTGAAGGAGTGATTTCCTTATTTGTGTGCATTGTTTCCTCTCCAGCAATTATCAGAGTAGTTATTCTTCTTTGAAAAGCAGTGTTTGCTTAAAATGTTCTGAATTAAACTTTGTTATGAAAAGTTCCTCTATCCCAAAACATTTTCTAGTTTTATAATTACAATTAAAACGTAATGAAAAACTACGAATTTGAAAAATAAATACTAGAATGAAATTAATTTCTATTCTCATCAAGTTTTACTAACCACAAAAATCAATATTAAACCGAGTTTCAATGTTATTTTATGAAGTTTAAAAATAAAGTTTGATTTAAAAACATCAAAAAATCTTTCTCAGAACATCAAACTTC